CAGATCTACAAGCATAGTTACATACACCCACATTCGCTGTTTATGAAGATTCAACATAGAGAGTTGTAACCGCGAGTATGGACCTATGTAATTCGCAGATGTCTTTCTGTACTTACTATTTGATCTATGCTACGTATGATAGCTGTTTGTGCATGAACTTGTTTCAGGTCATCTATTACTGGTACCGTAGAGTCGTTTAAGAGTTCCTAAGAGGTTCCGGGTTTGACTAAGCTCGAGGGAAATTCATGAATTTCGTTCAGCAAAAAATTTACCACATACTGGCTAAGACCTGGGTTGCTCAGTCGGTGAAGTATCGAACCCATGTGCGACCGGTCTCAAGATGAAGCCATAATCGGCATCATTCGCCCTTCTTCCTTTCGAGGTCAATAAATGAATACCACTCTGTGAGAATAAAGCAGGAGACTACAGGGTACGCTTGCCATATGGCTGTAAATTCTGCCTTTACAAAAAAAGGCACTCCTGGCTGATGGCATACAAACGGAGATTAACACCGTACCATCAACTTCATGAAAAGAAGAGCATCAAATGGCGCCCAGTCATGAAAGAGAAGGAAGATTGACATTGGAATATTCCAAAATTACTGGTGAAGTTAAATGCGTATCGAAGGGCGGATGAACGAACAGTAAATAATATGAAAGAATATTACAGCGTGACTTCGCAGTCTGCCGCATAAACATGATCTTTTGAAATTAAATCCTATTTTTGTACATCAAATTTTAAGCAACAAAGGTTATTTTTCTTCTGATCTCTACAGGATAAACCGACAGATAAACTCTGTTAACCAATTTGTCAACATTACTAGCCGTTCTTAGTCAACACATCTGGAAACAATATGGTTAAAGAATGATAAAGAGACAAATGTACATGTCAGACTGAGGACTGCAAGCACCGCCCCGTCCAATGAGTTCCTCAATCTCTGCCAAAGGGTCTGAGCAAACAAAATCAACCACTGATGTGATGCCTGCTGTGTCATGTACCAGTGAATGTCCGATGCGTGTGCTCAACTATGAAATCATAATTATAGCAATGGCCCTTTTGACTTAATAGTTTTTTCTGAATAGAATCATGAAATAAATTTTAACTTCTGAAATTGAAAAATTTGACAAAAGTTTTAGAGCTCACAAAAAGCCACTGAATGAAATGTAACATGGGATAAAGGAAACAAAGAGTAGGCGTCTGCGATTCATAAAAATTTGAACACGCGGTCACAAAACTGCACGCAGACCGACTGCCATCATACAACCACAATGATGGAATTATAAAATGAAAACGCAAATGTTTGAAACGAAACACTGTGACAAAGGTTTGATAATGTATTCATAAATGTAGGCAGTAGTATGAAATTTTAAGGCATAAATGCATTAAGGTGCATTTACAGTTTCAAATGTAAGGTGGTATGACTATGTCAGGTCAGCGAAATCTAAATCGTTGTTTCGCTCGGTTTAAGTTCGAAACACTTCCGCTTAATAATACAGCACTATGTCGGGTCAGACATAATTCGACGGGCGCGATCCAAAAGCCACCACCAACAAGTCCCGAGAACGAGAATCAAAATTAGAGCCATGACTACTAATTACCGTGCATCATCCAACTAGCATTCGACTCGCCGGGATGAATTCGTGCCGAAATTATCACCAGCTCTCTCGAGCGAATCTGAGCAGCGCTGCCTGCTTCAGTTAGAGTAAGAATGAACACGGGATTTTTAGCCAGACTGTAGCAAAGCCGTTCGGTACGAAAATGAACGTTACTCTGTGGCGAAAGAAGCTGATGCATCTTCACAAGGTGAGCCTAAAAATAGTTCCTCATAAAAGCTGCCCGAAATTAATATGCTGAATGACGAAAGTCGCATCCATTACTTTCAATGACGAATACGTGTACGGATAATGGTATGCGAAGTAGCAGATGTCGTACGAATGGCGGAATGACATACAAAAGCTTGCTGTATAAAAGTTGCCACCTCGGTTGATTTTTTTCGTTTGAACGTCGGCTTCGGGAAGACAGTAGTAATTTCTATAGTAAACGATGTTTCTACCGCTGCGAACCCATCCAGCGCGACCGTTCAACGCCTCTGCTACCGAAAAAACGACCGGCTGCATTCCTGCAATAGTAGGCAATCGCCTGACCGTAACACTTCTTCGGCAGAACAGATTTCACAAGTCTACGTACCGAAGTTGTACAACGACCGCGTTTTAACACAATTGATAATATTAAACGTATACACCACTTTTTCGACCATGTTCGACACTTTGAAGTAATAAGAGTGAAAATGTTGCTGTATTTGATTGATATCGGCATTCAGCAGCAAATCGTATTCGTACGTATCTACCTAAAAATGTCTGTGCAAATGTAAATACAAAACAGCATCACACATTCATAAGTACCTCAGAACAGTCGTTATTAATATTAGTGCTAATTGTTCTAGCACTACCAACGCATTAATGCAAGTAAGGACAATAGCAATAACAATTAATATCACTATTAAAAAAACTTTAAAACAAGTTAGAAAAAGAGTGTTACTACTATCCTTACTAATGCTAACATAAGGCTAATCGAACTTCTGCTTTAACGTATGTACTAAGAGAAACAGCGCTATCAACTCTTTACACAAGCTAGTAAAACCAAAAATTATTTCGTTCGTGCGTTGGTGGTCATCCTGAAGTTGGATGATTGATCATACCATTTGCGTTATGTATTCATAAACCGTATTTTATACTGTTTTCAGTAAAATCACTCGTAATACTGGTAATCTTACTAAAAATAAAAAGCTGACGCAACGCCTATTTTAATAGAGGGGGAAACGACAACAGTTCCAATCAGCACAATTACAGCAGTAATACGAATAGACCTAATCATTCAATTGGAAGTACTGTTCCCATTATTAAGGGTA